TCCTGCTGTGAAGTTGCAGATACAGTGTTAGTCACTTTTGTCGCTTTAATTAATTTATTTTTTTTACCATACGTGTACATTCCTTTCATATGACTAGAATTATAGTTCTAGAAATTATTGTTTTGTTTTTGTTGTAATGTGTGAATACTATTTAATATCAGGTTTTAATATTGCTGGATTTGCTACCTTTGGTTACTTGTGCAGTATTAAAAGTAATCCACATTCTTGTTTAATATACCAGATATCTAGCAAAAGCAGCTTTGAATTATAATAACTGTTCGTTTGGCTATGCTCAGTTACCACATTAAAATCTTGTACCGTGTAACAGTAACTTTTTTTTGCTCTTCAGTAATTTACTATGTTCACTTACCAAAATATGAACTTCAAGATGCACTAAAATTTTGTTTAGCAGTGGCTCAAAAAAACATTCTTTTTCAGAAATTACTTTTGTAATATTTTGCAATTAATTGTTCTTCTATCTTTAACAATTGTTTAAGCCTGTGATCTTTCCTCTCCCAACTAAGAATTCTTGAATAAATTTAAGAAATGCCTTGCCTTGGTTTTCATTCTGTAATATCTTATTAACTACTCTGTACTGAACTGAAACAAAGACATGCAAGTGGGCCTATTATAAAAGAAAACACACAAAAAAGGTCTAATTGTTCATATCATTTTTTTTGTGGTTTTTTTTTTTTTTTTTTTTAAGGTTTTTGCCATAGGGCTTGTGTGCTTGCTGGAGAAACAGGGACGGAAAATGAGAAATCAGCTCCTGGGGGTCTGGCCATGCTGCAGTCCTTTCTCCTTCTGGGATTTTAGGCACACATACACACATACCTGGTGTGATTTTCAAGCCGATAGGTCCAGGGCTCAAACCACAGTTGGCCATGTGGGAGTCCAGTATATTAACCACTACACAACCTGCTGACACCCATTCATATCATGGCTTTTGAGACCAAGAGAACTTAGGAATATTTTTAACTGGACACTAGATTCTGCCTACTTTTACGTACTGCTGACATATGTGATTTCAAAGACTGATTGCCCAATCTGTTTCACATGTAATGTAAAGTAGGTTTTTATGGTTTCACAGGGTTGTGAAAATCATCTGGGCTGGTTTGAGCACTCCTGTAGAATCTAGAGAGCTTACTTCTGTCATGACATGTACATAAGATACTTATAAATTAGCTGCTGACTTTTTATTACTAATGGAACGTGACTTTGTCTTAAGTACTTTTTTTTCCTTCTAGATAGATTTATTTTTTTTTATGTGTTTAAAATTTATTTATTGGGGCCAGCAGGTGGTGTAGCAGTTATGTTGCTGGACACTCACGTGGTTAACTGCTGTCCAAGTCTGGGAACCAGTGATTTGAAACTCAACGCACTGCATGCGTGCCCAAGATCCTGGGAGGAGAAGGGATTGCGGCATGGCAATCTTAAAAACCCAGAAATTAGGGAATGGTTATTTAGATTTGCATGAATGTGTCAGAAGACTGGGAAATAATAATAGGAAAATGATGGGAAGGCTTAGATATAAGTGCACCTCAGTTTAAAAAGTGTGCTAAGGTTTCATAGACTAGTTCCAGAAAGGAATAAAATGGCTAAAAAGGAATGAGAAATAGGGCAATGAAGATTTGAACAATTTCACACATAGGGATTTTATGTGATTTGTATCTTAGGAAGTGAGGGACAAGGCTTTTAAGAATTACCTAGCTTTTTAAAAGTAGAAAAGATGGAGAGGTCATGAATCCAAGGATGAATAAACTGTCAGTGCTATTATATGATAAAGGAAAGGGTGAAAATCAGAATTATTCTGTAGCATTATGTTTATAGCAGGTATAATAGAATAATATTGCATTTTTTCCATTGTCTTTTTAAAATTTTTTGGAGAGGTTTTTGCTGTAGGGCGCATGCACTCGGCAGAAAGACAGAGACAGGAAGCAAGAAATCACCTCGTGGGGGATGGCCATCCCGCAATCCCTTTTCCTTCATTCTCCTCTTAGGATCTTGGGCACGCATGCACACACACCTGGCATGAGTTTAAGACACTGGGTCCAGGACTTGAACCATGGTTGACTAAATGGGAGTCCAGTGACATAGCCACTACACCAACGGCTTTTTCCTCCATTGTCTTTAAAATTTTATGATCATCTCATTTTACCTTTGTTTTCTAGGTCACAGGTAATATTGTAGACTAGAATGAGTGTAAAAGAAACATTTTCAAGAGGGGATTGAAGCCCCAACTTTGACTTGATCGCTTCTTTCTGCATCTCCCTCCATTTTAAACAGTTACCTAAATGGATTTCTCTGCTTACGGCACAAAAGTAGAACTGGACTCCTGAGTGGTAAATTCGACCCACTGTGTTTTGGCCTAGTCTTTGTTGTAGGATCTTTATAAAAACAATTATCAACACTTAAAAATAAGATTTCACATTTAAATACATTTTGTATTTCCAGCTTCTTGAAAAATTGAAAGCTCTGGAACTGTGATTGATCTCTTAGATGGGTACAGGTTGTCAGGAACTAAATAGTATTTACCCTTTAGTCCTGGAGTAAGTTCTCCTCTTTACCTTTGGCATAGCTTGCTCCAGTTCTTCTCATTTCTGTTGCCTGCTGGGACCCTGTAGGCATTTAAGGTACAACTTCTGACTTAAAGCCAGTGAAATAATAAATGTGCTTAGAAACTCTGAGCATCATTCAGGCAACTCTATCATTCTCTAGGATTGCTCAAAGCAGGGAGGATCATTGTAGAAATTACAGACTTGGTGAGCTTTTTGTCCCAGAGAAGAAATCAAATATTAAACGCATATTTTCGGTATATGAGAAGAAAGGAGAGCCCATGTTGGTTTACCGTGCACAGATTGTGTCAGATTTGTGTTACATTTTCCTGTAGAATTATTCCCTTGGCATGTTAGAATACCAGAGACATGGTATCTACATTTCAATGAGGCATTTTATATGCAGAGGAGGAATGGGTGATCCTAAGATCCCAAAGATGTGTGTTTAGTAGATTTTTGTGTTCATGGAGGTCGGTACTGTGATGTGTCACAGGCCATTCCATGTACTTTTTTTTAAAGTTTTGAGAGGTTTTTGCTATAGGGCGCGTGCGCTCACCAGACAGACAGAGGGACAGAGAGACAGAAGGCGAGAAATCATCCCCCAGGGGGGATGGTCACATCACAATCCCTTTTCCTCCATACTCCTCTCGGGATCTTGGGCACGCGCACGCACATGCGCCTGGCATGAGTTTTAAGCCACTGGGTCCAGGACATGAACTGCAGTCGACTATGTGGGAGTCCAGCGACATAGCCATTACGCTAACTGCTGGTCCCTCCATGTACATTTTTTAAGACAGTTTGGGATGAAGATTTGTTAGGAATGTGTTAATCAGGAGTGTCAAAGAACATTTCACAGTGACCAGACCGAGGGGTAATATTCAAACAGTAGGAATAAACTGGGGGGGCATATAATGAACTTTTGTATCTGTCTCCCCCTTTTGTCCTTTGAACCATATGAAATTTGACATTTTCCTTCCAAAGTGGGAAGGTTCCATGTTTACATATTGCCCTTTTACAATTATGGCCTCGAATACTTTATGCCAGATTTTTAAAAATGCTTTTCTTGATATAAACTTAGTTTTTCCATGTCACTTACATTAATTCTATGTACCCAGAATTTCTAAATATGTGGAAACGTGCTAAGGGACCCATAGGGTTTAAAACATTGTGGGTGTCTGAAGAGTCACAACAAGGTTGTTTAGGAAAAAAAAAAAAGCTATCAGAACTCAGTATCTGCAGTCAACCTCATACCTATCTCCTTCCTGATTATAAGGGGTAGGAGTGGTTTCAGGCATGTAACCTGTCAGTCTGTCATTAAGTCAGCCTTAGATGGGTTGTGGCAAGGACTGGGAGATCAGTTAAGCTGCCTAAGCTTGTGCAACCCAGTGCACTTTATTGCCTTTGATCCTAAGAAGCCTTGGCTTCCTGATGAAGGGGCCCTTGGTTGAGTGACAGTTTGCAGTTGGTACAGAGCTGGTTAGGTATAGTCAGTATGTTGAACAACAATTACATCCAATAAGGCTTCAAAGACCACTAATGACTAAGTGCTCTGATAAGGTAGGGGGTAAACACTTGGTCTGCTTAAGGACAGAGAGGTGGGAGGTGAGAAGCCTGCAAGATTCATGTCAGAGTCCTAAGGTGGCGCAAAGAGAGGAAGTCGGCCAATTCCAGTGCCCTGTTATTAGTGGGAATATATATAAATGAAAAAAAGTCACCGTACTTATTAAATCCAGCATTAGTCCATGTCTTTATGGAGGTTATTGTTTAGTGAGGGAGAAAAATAATGAAATGAGCACTTACTTAGCTACTGTTGTCTAAGGGTAGTGAGAGCCAGAACAGAAGAACCTAGTCAGGGATTTTTAAAAGACCTGAGGCTTCAGCTAGGTTTGAACTCAGGAGTCAACCAGACAAAGGAGTTTGGGAGTGTTGGAAAAAAGTTCTTCTGTAGAACAAAAGGCATGCATAAACTCCTTGACAAG